ATGCCACTATTGCTCACACGATCGATCTCACTATCCAACCATGGGACACCATGGGCCGATTTGAACACGCGATCAATCTAACGATCGATCTCCGGATCGCTCTCACTCAATCGATGCTACTATCGATCTCACAACCGGTGTCACTGTCGATCTCACGATCGATCTCGTATCACCCTCATGATCGATCTGACAATCAAACTCTCTTGACCTCACTCAATCTCACTATCGATCTCACGACCGATCTCACCCATGGACCTTACTATCGACATCACTAGCGATCTCAAGATCGACCTCACTACCGCTAGCATAACACAACATAACATATAGCATGGCACAGGACGCTCCCGCGCCACGGAACACCACGGGAGAGAGAGAGAGAGAGAAAGAGAGGAAGGGAGAAAGAGTGATAGAGAGAGAGAGAGAGAACAAAAAAAAAGCAGAGAGAGAGAGAGAGAGAAAGAAAGAGAGGAACATCGAATAACTAGGCTGGACTACAACGCACATTCAAACTAGGCTAGGGCTGGAGGAAGGCCGATCGAGGTACCTGCGACAAAAATCATGAATCCACTGATTGGCTTTTCCCTGGCGTAATTGAGCACTAGCGTTCCGACGCGGCGATCGCTTCGACCGCCCCAGATTCCAAAACCGTGCGGCCATCCTGGATCCCCCCTGACTCACCACTTCACCGCACCGCTTGGGGCCCCCGAGCGTAGTGCATGCCAATCGTGTCTTCCGCACGCCGCCCAAGCTATACGAAGGAGCCGATGAGCCCGAGCCTCCGATGGTGCACTTCACTCTGGGCCCCAGCAGTTTCGAGGACTCGGCGCAAACGAATACATTCGAGACAGCACTGAAGATGTTCGGGCTCGTCAGCGCATCCGAGCTGGGAAGACGGCCCAACGAGGGCACAATGCGATGAGGTGTGCCCCCCCCCATCCGCCAGCGTTTGCAGGAGAGCGAGCGCCGAAAGCGCAAAACAAGCGCTCACGAAATTCCGGAGCCGCACCGGCCATGCCGGGGAAACTCTGCGCAAGCTTCGGCACGAAGAATCGGCTACACGCAAGAGTGACTCTGGGTAAGAGTGACCTTTGGTGCGCGGCTTCTGGGGGGCGGCGGGGGGGCCAAACACAAGCGCGCAGCACGCCACTGCCGCCTCGTGCTCGGCGATCGGGGGATTCCGTTTGGCCCGCACCAAGGGTCACTCTGGCGAAGGGTAACTCTTAGGGGGCGCCAAAATACACACCACCACCACCTCCCTCCCCCCCTCCCCCCCTCCCTCTCGCTGAACAGAGGAGAGAGGAGAAATCGACGTGGTGGTGGTGTATACTCTTTGGGCCCCCAACTCTCGCGTCCAGTCGAGAGAAGGGCTCGAGGAAGGGAGCCCCCGCGCGCGGTGGCCCTCTGAAGGCCCGCCTTGCACGGAGCTCGGCAGAGCTCCCCGGAGGAGGGAGGTCGCCGCGCCAGCGACGAAGACGGCGACGATAACGACGACGCCGTCGACGACGACGACGAGGCCATCGACGACGACAACGCCGTCGACGACGACGATGACGACGCCGTCGACGACGACGACGAGGCCATCGACGACGACGACGACGACGACGACGACGAGGCCATCGACGACGACAACGCCGTCGACGACGACGACGCCGTCGACGACGACGACGAGGCCATCGACGACGACGACGAGGCCATCGACGACGACGACGACGACGACGACGACGACGACGGCGACGACGACGACGACAATCACGGCGACGACGACGACGACGAGGGGAGGACGTTGAATTACAGTGAGCCGTCGGCGCCCTCGGAGGCGCCCGTACGAAGAGGTTCGGCAGTGCAGATTTGTACACAACGCTCGGCCAGTCCGTCGGGCGTGCCAGGCCCGCGACCGGCAGGGACAAGGAGGACGAAGCGGTGGGTGGTTCGGTCTTTGGCTTATGTCGGGCGTGTCCCCCTACGGGCGGATTTTGGACTCCCCCCCGCGGCCGTCCCGCCCTTCCTTTTCCCTCCTCCTGCATGCCGGCCAATTATTCGCTGTGCAGTGCCCCTGCGTCGTTGTCACGCTGGAGCGGGTTGTCCCGCCTCGCCGCCGACGGACAAACAATTTCTTGGGCATGCCGCTGTGCGAACTTCGCGCCCGTGGCGCCAGTCGCGCCCGCGCGGGCGGCAGCACAGCCAGCCTAGCCCGCGAAGAGCTCGCAGAAGCGGTAGAATGATGGACACCCCCCCTTGCTCGTGCTGGCGTGGCAAACTCAAGGTGGAACAAACAAATTGTGCTGAGACTCGTTTCGCCAGTGGGGCTCTCAGTCCGCCATTGAGCCACAGATGGCGGCAGTGCGCGAGTGATCTACAATCAAGATGCTGTGGCAAGAACATCTGGCTCCACGTGTCCTTGTGACACCCTGCCCGCCCAACGCGAGGTCAATCGGAAAAAACTCAACAATCTAAGATATTTATCTAAGATGACCCCTCGTTGCACAGGCCTCCCTCCTCC